TGCTGGATTGCTTGCAATCTAATAAATTACTATCGTTGCACCATTCAGCACTCAGGATTCCTAGTAATTTAGTAAATCGCAAGCAATCCAGCAGGAAAAATAGCATCGTCTGCAGCGGGCTTTAGGCATGCCAGAGACAGCCACTGGTCTAGTTTACACCGTTAAATCGGTTGGTGCGCATATCAAGTTGGTACGGACTAAACATTTGATACATCCCTGTTTACACCATTTCGTCTCAAAACAGGTTAGGTTAGATTTTTAATCTGAATAAAGTAAAATCAAACTTCTACCACAATATGCTAAACTGAACCATACTTCTAACACAGATTGTGGTAAGGCTGGGTCTACATTGGATGTCGTAAGTCGAATAATGAACTGTGATTGGTCAATTTCCCAGCCATACTGACTTTACTGGCGTGCGAAAAACGCAGCACCAGTAATTTTCATTGCTACCAACTATACTGTTTTCACTGGCAGTAACTAAATCCATTTTCGAACACATCCCCAGCGGGAAAAATAGCATCGTCTGCAGCGGGCTTTACTTAAAGCAAGATTGTGGACCAGGGGTTAGTTGAGCTTCCTTATCTCTATTCTTCATGACTGTGGTCTATATATTATACGTCTATGTTTTTCAGATGCAGTTCCACGACGACAGACGGCGGTGCGACGAGCTGGTGCGAGTATCTTGAGCGGTCGGTCTGTCAATTTGCGAAGCGCAATAGCGATTTGTCTTCCCACCTCAATTTCCATCGGCGCAGATTTTCGTTCGGTGACAAGTACGCGCTTCGACAATGCTTCGCATCGCAAAGGTCTTCTCGTCGACCACCAGGCATCTCAATAAGGCCGTCGAGACACCCGTAGGGTCCTGCGTCGCATCCAGGTAAAGCGTCCGTCGTCCTCTCTCGCCTGCCTCGAGCAACTCGGTGGCTCCAAGTGGAGCGAATTTCGAATCAGGGATCTCATTTTCGATTTGCCTTGACAAATTAGCGCTCGAAAGATTCGTATTGCGTACGGCTGTGACGCGTGACGTCCTGCGGAGCAAATGGCCTAATTTGTTTACAAATTGCGTCGCAATTCACACGAAATTTCCGTGTACACGCGTCATATTTATTACTTTCCCACTTTTATTATCGCAAAACGGAGTAGGCTCGTACGACCTTCGCTCGTCGCGATTGAAAATTGATCTATATCTCGATCTGCATTTCCGTGCCCGATATTTTTAGTTACGAGTAAGCGCGTGCAGAATACGCGGACTTTGGACTGTGCCCCGTAGGTAGAAGAAAACTTGTCAAGCGTACGTCGCCGTACGTCATATACACTGTGACGTACCGGGACCTGTGTATATATATTGTTTATGTATATTAGCGCGCAGCTATTTAAACACTTGATCTGTGTATCATTGACGGATTCCGGGTCCCGAGTTCATAGGTTCTAAGCGTCTAAAAATGGAAGATCAAAGGGCATTGTGGATTTCTGAGACGGAATATTCCTTCGCATAACGAGAGGAATATCGAGTTTCAGATAAACAAGGAGTAGAAAAAACCAGCGTACGTGTAAAGGCCATTCTACAATTGCGTAAACGCGATTGTTGTACAGTGTTGTAAAACAAAGTTTTAAACTAGCATTTCCGATTGTGAAGTTTGTTGTAAAAGATGGTCGAACTTCATCTTTCACGACTACAACGGTGCAGGACGTAAAAGCTAACCAATCATCGCTTCAATTATGACGTATCTTACTCTATTGTATATTACTTTGATGTACAACACTTACTGCTACTTCTACTCCTGCAACCCTACAACTACATTTACGCAATTGTAGAATAATCTTTAACATGAAGAAACAAGTGTTACCCCGGCAAACAGAACATTGCAACAACATTGCGCAATGTAATATTGCTGCAATGCTGCTACAATGATTACAACATTGCCGTAGTGTTGCTGTAAAGCCTTGTGTCCATGATCCACGAACTGTGTCAAAGTTCTAGTTTTGAAAAATGTGTAGCCAATCAACTTGCATCTCTTGCGGAAAAGCTGCAAGTTGATTGGCTACGCATTTCTTGGAGCTAGAACTTGGACACAGTTCTTGGATCGTGGACACAAGGCTTAACGTTTGCTGGGATTTTGTGGACGAAGATGCAATTTGGAGAGGACGAGATTACATATGCCGAGGGGTAGACCACTAAGGACATTGTGGTGTACAGATTTTGGTCAGTGGTTTACCCCTCGACACTTACTTATGAGATAAAAGAATAATTTATGTAATTTCACTGGTTCTTGAAACTGTTTACCGCCGGATAACTTATTGTTTTATACAAGTGTAAAGGGTTCGGGAACATTTCCCTCGAAAAGTGCTTTGCAACCCCAAGGGGAGACACTAAAGATATTATATAACTTATTGGTTTAATTACATGGACATTATTTGACGATAAACATTGTTCGACAGATGTCTGGCCACCCAGGCGGCAGTGAAAGTCAAGGAGGAGGCGCCAAAGCAGGAGAATGCCGTCGCAAAGGAGTCCCAGTCTTTCACGATGAATCTCTTCCGCGGCCAGTTGCAGCTGAGTCAAGTCTGTCCGTACCCGGAGCCCATGACTCCGGAGCAGACTGACACGATAAAGATGCTCGTCGATCCTGTGGAGAAGTTCTACGAGGTGAACGTCCTCTTCAAGTGCACTGTGATGAAAGCTCGAGGGCTAGCTCTTATCAAACGTCTCTTCTTACCATACAGGAGGTGAACGATGCGGCTAAGAACGATCAGAACGCGAGCGTGGACGAGAAAACCGCGGCCGCTCTCTGGGATATGGGAGCGTTCGCCCTGCAGGTGCCCACAGAATTCGGCGGGCTGGGGTTGACGAATACTCAGTACGCTCGAATCGTCGAGATATGTGGCTATCACGACCTCGGCATCGGTATCACGCTGGGCGCGCATCAGAGCATAGGGTTCAAGGTACAAGCGTTTTCACCGCTGCGCCTTGCTTTACATTTTTGTCCATTTTCCCAGTAATATTAATATCGTTAAATCGTAGAAAGGATATAACAGAAAGGCCTATTAAGGCCTGCGTCCAGGATGCTCGAACTTGGTGCAAGTTCTAG